GCTATTATCTGAAGGGTTTTCTCCAGGCGTTCTAGTTTACTTGTCACATGCACATCCACAGCCGCTTTGTCAATCCACTGCTGGATGAGGGCCTACCCACACCGTGTGGGTCATGGGACTTGTTTGACCATACTTTACCAGGCTGGCCAGCGCGTGTTGGTGAATTCCGGAAGTATTGATGTGAGAACATAGAAGTAATGTATAACAGGATTGTTCTGCATTGCCCATCTGGTGCCCACCAAAAGATCCCCGCAGCTCCTAGCAACCTGCTATGCATCGTAATCGCACCTCTAACCCCTAGCCAGGCTCAATACTGCTTTGGTTCCGAGGTATCATGAGACCGATTTCACGGAAATGCAGTAAAACGTATTTTTACTCAAAATTTGCCATATGCGATTTGAATTCAATCATACAACTTTATGTGTACTGTATGCGCTACTCGGCAGTTTTTCTCGTGTGCCCTATTGTTTTGGAACGCATTTACGACCGTATGAAGCAAGGGGGACCTGTATTAGTATCCTTATAACTGGCTGGGTGGTGCGATCGTAAGAGTGCCTGACAGTCAGAAGGTCATGAGTTCAAATCCAAGTTGGGGGTCAACTTAACCCATCATCATTGACGTCCCCCCTGGGTCATAGAAATGAGTACTACTCTTTAGACAGTCTACAGTGGTTCTGTCATTGAGAGATTGGTCCCTGCCATAGGAATATGGAATTTCCACCCACTGACTAGAGCCACCAACTGAAATCAGCACCACCCCATGCTCAATTGAGCATGGGAATGCAATGTTGCAATTATTGTTGCTGGTATTATTATTGTGGTTCAAGGTTTTAAACTCTACAGAATGACAGATGCAGAGAGTGCAAGCACTTATCGTTTCACATTAGGCCAACGTATTCCGGAAAGTGCATCCCTGATGTGACTCAAAGCTGGTGCGGGGGTGGAAGAATAATAATAATGTTACGTAATGATGATAGCCCTTCGCTTGGACCTTGGGTTAAACCGCAGTGCTCGTTTCAGCTGTCGGCTCCGGTAGTGTTTGCCAGCGCGGTCACCTGACTTGGTGGACAACTGATGCCTCGTTCCTCGAATGGTTAATGAAAGGCAAAGGTGTAGCCCTGAAAACGCCTGCTCACACAACTGCTTGCAGAAGGGCCTTCACCAGAGGGAGCTCTACAGAATTCCTCTGGAGGCTCTCTGATCTACATTTCATTCCTGGGCAGTATCAATTTACTTTCATTTTACCAGGTAAGGACCACTCAGCTATGCAGCTCTCTTTCAGAAGGGACCTGGCCACAAATGATAGCTCCAACGAAGTGGCTTATCACGTGCAAATGTATAGCCGCCAAATACTCTAAACGCACGTTGATTCTAAATGTCGAGGGAAAAACCGGAGGCCCTAAATCCACACGACCACAGAGAGAAACATGCAGACTCCAAATATACAGCAGGCGTCATGGTCGGCATCGAACCCATGCCTCCTGTATACCAGGCGAGGTAGTTAACATCTCCTAGCCACCGCGGCACCCAAGTACGTCTTGGGAGATGTGGGAATTCTCACACTTTACCCTACCACACGCAACCTGCCAATCAACTGTGACGTATCTTTTTCTACTACATGCTGAGTGGACAGAGCCAGGGGGAATTGATATTTACTTTATATTATTTGGGTCTTTCGGTAAAGTCACGTAGATAGGTTCAAAAAATAATAAAATAAATAATAAACCAAAAAAACTACGACGCTTCGATTGCAACACGAGCGACCGTCATCAGGTGGGATTTTTTTTGGTTTTACTTCATTGCATTGAAAGTCCAGAGGCCGGGATAATGCAGGAAACTTTGCGCTGCAATAAAAATAATATTGGGGCACCTGACGAAATCGGGTGTTAAGTCACGGATTCCTCTCCCACCCCTGCCGCCCCTGTTCCACCCAAGCGCCACCGCTTCTACTGCCCCCAACATTGCTGCGGCTTCTGCCGGCCACTTAAAAGCAAGGCCTACTCGGGTTTGCATACCGTGCCAACTAGAGGCCGACCGAAACTGAATTTCGGGTTTCGGCCGAAACCGAAACCAGACCCAAAGTTAAAAAAAAAAATTGACTTTCGGCCGAAACCGAAAGTCTGCCCAAAGTGGCTATTTTGCCAACTTTCGGCGCCGAAAACCGAATTTGGTTCGGCCTCTCGTGCCAACCCAAACGGTTCACACGCATTCTTGCTCAGGGAAATTGAGGTTTTGTTCGGGCCAATTGGGCGTGCAGCCGTTTCAATACAGGCAAAATAAATTTCTTGTCTGTGTGATTGTGTTTCTCCCTTGCGGTGAGACTTTGTAGGATGAACGTTGAGATTTATAAGGGGCACGGGGTGACCAACAAGGTCTAAATTGGTCTGTAATAAGGTAGGGCACTGGTAAGGGGTCGACAGGTTTGGGTGAGGTGAGGGTGAGGTGAGGGTGAGGCGGGACCCCCGTTCCATTGTCGAGTGACATACGATGGGGTGAGGCGAGGGGGTGAGTTGAGGGAGGGTGAGGTGAGGTGAGGGACACTGTCACCATTGACGAGCGACAAACGCCGACGGGCAATGCGACCGCGCGCTGACTACGCGTGGGGCGGAGAGGAGCAAGCCACACGCCATCGGGTTTCCACATCAACATCACCGTCCGGGTGTCCCCTATCAGCACCCGCGTGCAGTTTCCAGTGGAAAAAAAGGAGGAGAGAAAGAAAGAAAAAACGCGCACGTGCATTGGATAGGGTGACGTTGGGAGATGGGGAGAGTTGAGAGAGAGAGGGGGGGGGGGGTGGGGGTGTGAAAAGGTGTGTTAATAATTGAGGTTGTTTTGGAACAGCGCGGTTGGGGGGGGGGGGGGTCTCGTGGAAAAATGGTGCAAGGTTGTGGTGGTGGTGGTGGTGTTGTGGTTGGGGCTTGGGGCCGGCCCTCGACGTGCTGGCGGCACCGCGAGGAGAGGACGGAGCGAGCTGGGGAGGTGGTGGTGGTGGCCGGGGTCACGCGCAACCATTAGCAGGGGAGATGGAAAGTGTGGGGCTTAATGATGCTTTTGGTCTCAGCGATATCGCTTTGTCCAGCCCCTGCCCCCTCATCACTGCAGAATGCCGTGCTGCAAAACACATTCGACGCGCAGTAACAATAACAACGAGCCGCTCGCCTCTTGTAATGGGTACCACGTTTTTGAGCGTTGTCCCGACGTTCAACAAGAACGTCTTTGGGGTGAGGCTCGTCGCTGTTTGGCGGCCGCGAGCCAGTGGTGGAAATTCCACGTTCCTATGGGTGGGGGGCAATATCTCTATACTGTAGTTACAACCGCATCGCCGATTAGCACGGCTGGCTACGTACGGTGCGAAAGAAGTTCAACAGACAACCACTCGGTTCATATAAAAGTGGTGCTCATAATGAGCGTGTAGTTAGCGCACAGCAAGATAAACTTGGTGAGCTGAGTTTAAGTACCGGTCTTGGTTACAATTCCCCACTGCCCCCTCCCCCCTCCAACCTATGCTGACTGCTGTGGTGAAGTATGGTCAAACAAGCCCAATGACCGACACAGCGTGGATTGACATCAGGGCCTGCATGTACTACGCCTGACATAAAATAGAACACTTTGAATGTTATTGGATGCTCACGCAACTGAGAATAACAATGTCAACTTTGAATGTGAATTCAACTTCAAAGTAAAGTCACAGCGATATTAGTTTACTGTCGCGAGCGTCATCACCACTGTGTACCACACTGCGGGAAGTAAAGAGAGTCTTACCAGACCAGTATGTTAATCGATAAGGTTTTAAGTCTTAAAAGATGTTATTTCATTTCTTAATTTATATTTGTTACATTTTTTTAAATTGTTAATTTGTTGTTTTTGTGTGCTAAGTGTGTGCTCTCCGATTTCCTAGGTGAAAAGTGGGCCTGTGTCCTTGCCCAAGCCTGGCCCCTGCCTGATATTCCACAAACGAACTTGCCCCTGGCACAACAATGTGGAATTTCCACCCCTGGATCGGCTCGCTTCAAATAGATGACTGGCGTCTCACGCTCGTTTGTGGAGCCGTTTTGACTCTCGATGAAAGGTTACACTCTAATTATGTAACAGTTAACAGGAATACACCCAGACTTTATTTATAAGAGGTGGAACAGTGGCACAGTGGTTAAGCAATTCCCCAGACTGGTTCTTGTGCATGATGGCAATACTTTCAGGAGCTAAATGCCAATGTCGAGGTCTGCTAGCGACGAGAGGGCTTCGGGAGAGAGTTGGTGTAGTGTTGCTCTTCCGCCGTTGAAAGAGCACAGAATATAGTGGAGTACTATACGGACCACAAGGCACTGTTTTCCATTTTCCCATTTATGAAGGAGGTATGTGCATCAGCCTGTTGATGTTCTGAAGCGGCTGATGGCTACACCGGTGTATTTAAGGAATGTCCAAGCCAAGAGTTGTGGTGTTTGGGTCTCGATTGACGTGTTTAACGGACTGGTAAAGGAATATCGTACTATTAAAATGCATTGACTTGTCCGCAGGATATTTTACTGGTCGTGCTTATTTTGATTTACACTGAATGGATGTCCTGGAGTAAAACAAAAATAACCTTTGACTCACATTACATGGCTTCAATCCCATCCCTGGCACCTGTATATTTGGAGTTTGCATGTTTTCCCCGTGGTCGTGTGAATTTTTCTTCGAGTCCTCCAGTTTTTCGCTCCACATCGAGACATATTTAGAGTTTTGGCTGCTATAAATCTCCACATGATAAACCACTTCGTTGAGCTATCATTTGTGGCCAGGTGGATTCTCCAACACACCGGTGTGCCATACTAGTAACGAATTATGTTCACGTGACAAACCTTACTAATTGGCTGTGTCGGGTGGTGACGGGTTTAACGACACATTTATTTTTACGTTGCCTAACCTAAAAGCCTGTATTATAATAATAGTTTCACGATAAAGATACATTTGTATGAACATTCAATGTGTAAATACACAAAGGATAAACACCGCACTCGAAGCACGCTTATAAAACGGTTTATTTCCAATTGGAGTCAAAACAATCCAACGGACCTCTGCATCAATCAATATATCGTTAGGTGTTCACACACACACAGCATAGGTATAAGCGGCAGATCAGAACCTACAACTCTTAGAAAACTCTTGAGGAATATTTGTTCATACAGTTAAATATAAAATCTAACTTTTAAAGCATGTAGGTGTGTTTGTGTACACTATGTACATGTACTGCAATAAGGCAAACGGTTTCAACCCTGCACGCAATGCATAAACCCGCAACACTCTCAGGGGCGTATCGAATGTTGTGTTTTCATTGCGACCATTCATACGTGTCTGCCGATCAATTATTAATGCGCCATATCCATAGCGGCACAGCCACACAGAAAGGAGATATCGTACGCGGTGACGCGGAGTGGCCACCCCGCTCCGCTCCGCCGTCGCACCGTTGCATATTGAGCCACAGCGGCAGCAGCAGCAGCAGCGCCGTGGCTAGGAGATGTTAACTACCTCGCCTGGTATACAGGACGTCGTGGGTTCGATCCCAATCCCGACCCTGAAGCCTGCTGTATATTTGGAGTTTGCGTGTTCTCCCCGTGAGTCGCGTGGGCTTTTCTCCGGACCCTCCGGGTTTTTTTCCCTCCCGATGTAGAAACACGCCTTTTAGAGTATTTGGCTGCTCTATACATTTCCACGCGATAAGCCGCTTCGTTGAGCTATCGTCTGTGGCCAGGTGGCTTCTGAAAAGAGCTATATCGTTCCGTGGGCATTACCTAGTAAAATTAAAATAGCTTAGTTTAGTTTTAGCAGCAGTAGCCCCGTGGCTCTTCGGTTTGGCGTCGGTCAAGCCAAGGTGAGAAACTGTCGCTTAGTCCGAGAGTCGCGCGTCACTGTTGTAATGATTAAAGTGAAATGACACGTCACTCTCACTGTTACGTGTTTGTGCGGCATGCTGATGAGATGGAACCAACAAAAACAACATTATCTGAAACGTAAGCAGAAACCATATTTTTTTAAATGTAACTAAAGTCTATCAATGGTGAAGTGTATGGGTTCATCTGGCCACGTGGCACGGGGTTAGACTGCTTGACTCACATTTAGACGGTTAAGGAATTCAAATCACGTTTAGGGGTTAACTCCAGGATAGAAGAGTGCCACTTGAAATTAATTGCATGTCCCATGGAGAGACTGGCCCCTCCCAAAGTAATGTAGATATCCCACTGCTGAGTCAAGGCCGCGGGACACAGATGGGTCTCGCCTCGATTGAGCAGGGAAACACTCGAAATACGAATCGTGTTTTGGTTTGACGCTGTGCGAATATTAAGTGCATCGTGATGCTGAAAGAAACGGCGCTTTGTGAACGAAGTGCCCATTTGTCATGGTAATCCTTGTCCGTAGGGAGAAAGAGCCACTTCGTATGAGACTGGAGACAGAGAGGGGGGGGGGGTACCCCAGGCATACCATAAATTACATGTGCCCTCAATACGTCTGCTCATAATTCTCCGGCAGGAGAAAGCGAGAGGGAGCCACTTCGCCGTCAACCAGCGGTGACAATATCCAGGATGCAAGACGCAGAGGTGGCGGCTGACATTCACGTGAATGAAGCGCAGGTCCGTTAAGAAACATTCTGGTAAAGGTGTCAAAAAAGAGTGTTAACCTCTTCGCACAGACCTTTGTCTTTCCAGCACTCGCTGCTGAAAAACAACAGCACCGATTAAAAGGGGCTTTCTGAAATATAAATTTTGTAAAAATGTAAAATATGATTTTGGAAGCTGTGGATGACCGACAACTTTGTCTAAAGCCACTCACTGTCGTCCTGCAGGAAATGCCCTCCCGAGCTTGCAATTGAACATCATAACAATGAGTGACAATAATTTAGGGTTTTATTCTTTTCCAGCCAAGTCGAGGTGTCTCTCCACCCCCCCTCCCCCCTCCTGCACAAAATTCTATTTTGGTCAGTACTGCTGTCGACTGGTGGCCTGAGCCCATTAATGGAAACTTCACATTGCCATGGCAGGGATCAGTCTATTCGTTGAAACAATCACTATTTACACACATCGGTACTAATTGTGTTGATCCCAGGGGGATGATGGGGGTAGCATAACCCCCCAACTAGCATTTTAATTCATGACGTTCTAATCATGAGACAAGCACTCCCAATCGCCGCTTGTTGCAGAGGTTCACGGTTCGAAATCCAGCGGCCGCCCTGGTTATCGCTGCACTGTGCAACAACCGTAGCAGCACAACGCGCCATCTGCTTCACAGTGAACGTTCGAAATCCCCTGACGCCGTTCGCGAGAGTAGGCCATTGCGTGTCCAAATTTGAAAATGACGCGCAGATTACTCAATCGTGATTATCCACAGCAAGACATCGCCCCCGCCCCTCCGACTGGCACTGGCAGACTGATGCCCGTTTTGCAGGCCGACTGCCAAGTCGCTTTGTGCCGCGCAGGGGCAGCTGCCGCCGGGGGTGCCCCTTCGATTTATTCAGCTGTGACGTTGAGCGATGTGAGAAGCGCCGGCATACACGGGGTGCTACATTCAAAACGAATCCTCGTAAATTGTCAATTTTGCGGCAGAAAGGGGTGGGGTTTCACTTGCGCAAGTCCGGGTTACACGCGTGGCTTAAACAACACGAGTGTTTGCAAAAAAGGCTGCGACATTCTGTCCATTGTCACACGTTGGGTGCAATTGAAATGTAGTTGGGCCGTACAGCCAAATTGCATACCTGATGCAGTAATGGTTTTACGTGCCTGGCTGACAAGCGAGGCGAATCAATTGCCCCCGACTTGCTTAGGCGACGCCGTACCTTTGCCACGGTGCAGCACGCTGCGGTGACCACGACGCAGTCGCTCGAAACCCAACGGGTTTGCGCTTCGGGACACCGATCAGAATCAAATGAAAATAAAAAGAAGAGACTCCTGTATTTTTCCATCCATTGCGCTGTCACGACAATGGCAGAGAGACGGATATTTGTGTGGCAGAAGGCATGGGGAGGGTGGGGGGGGGGGTGGTGAGGGATGAAGGGAGGGAGCGAGAGAAATGAGCCGGCGCATCCCGTAACGCGGTCGTGGCTGAAGCAGGAGGTTTCGCGCGAGGTTTGTCTGTCCTTTCACAAGTTCAAGCGAGGGCACCGAGTCTCCCCCCCCCCGCCACCACCACCGACCACCTTTGGATGCGCATCCAGCGCCGCCTCGCTCACAGCACGGAGAGGTCGTGGCACGACTTGGACTTGACGCGGAAGGCCAGCCTCCCGGCGCCGCGCGCCACCATGAAGCGGCTGAGGATGCGCCACGCGCGCTTCGTGAGGCTCTCCTTGCGCCGCGCGTAGCGGTGGTGGTGGCACGAGGGGTGGTGGCGCGGGCAGGCGGAGGACGAGACGGCCCCGGCCGAGGACGGCGCGGACCCCGCCGACGATGACGAGGAGGAGGAGGAGGAGGCGGAGGAGGACGAGGCGGAGGCGCAGGAGGAGGAGGAGAGGAGGCCGGATGGGCGGAGGAGGCGGCCGGCTTCGTCCCGGCGCTCGCGCTCCAGGTCGCCTCGCCGTCGCCGCAGGCGCAGCTGTCGCACGACGCCGTGGTAGAGCTCGCGCACGTTGTGCTGCAGCGCCGCCGACGTCTCGATGAACTTGCAGTCGAAGACGGCGGCGCATGCGCGGCCCTCTGCGGGGGGGATGCGCGAACGTTACCACCGGGGAGACAAAGGTGGCCGGGCGTGGTGCCGGCCACCCACCCCCTCGTGCGTGGTGCCGGCCTTCGCAGGTGCTGCTCGCTAACGGCAATTGCCCCAAACAGTCTGCCAAGGCTATACGGGGGATCTTTGCCTTTGTTAGCGGGCGCGAGTGCGGGCGTGCGGGCGTGCGTGCGTGCGCGGGGTGCGTTTGGCGTCGCGGGGATCGGCCCTCACCGTCCACGCTGACCTCCCGCGAGCGGACGAGGTCACTCTTGTTGCCCACGAGGATGATGGGGACGTCGTCCGCCTGCCGCGCCTTGCGCACCTGGATGCGCATCTCGGCCGCGCGTTCGAAGCTCGCGCGCTCCGCGATGGAGTACACGATGATGTAGGCGTCTCCGGCGTGGGCCAACTCGTCGTCCAGCCACTCCTCGCCCGCCTGCCGCCCCACACCGAGACAAACGCGGGGGTGACGCTTCGTCAAAAAAACCCTCGACCGCACCCCAAGAGGCGCTGGCTGAAAACACCTGGCTCGCCATGCCTCGTCATCACCGCTGGCTTGGCCACGGAACAATAGCGTGGACAATTTGCGAGGTTTTTTTTTTTTTGTCGCGGTGGTGGGGTGGGATAAACCCACAAAAGTTCACCAGAGTCATCACGGACACTCTCTCATGGTGCGTATAATGATCAATCGGCTGACGCTGTGGGAAGTAGCACGGTTTGTTGGATACTCGATGTGCACTCCTGTGGGAAAACGTCTCAAGCGTCAAATCAAAACCTGTGCACTTGTTAAATGTCTGCAACTTCGCAGACCTGCGGTGTGAGGTGTGATTTCCAACTGTATGTTGAGAATAACCTTCTGCCAGAAACTTCAGCCCGCTACGATTTTATTTTCGTCACAAGGCGGTGGTGACGTTGATGCTGTGTCGAGGAGTAGCCTGATTGCTTTGGAAAGTGACCCCTCTTTATAGATTTTTTTAAAATCAAATAAGTACCCTGTTAGATAAAATTAGCACCACTTTGTGGAAAATTATCAGTTGTCTTCGTACGGATATAACTCTGGAATGTCCAATGCAGGCTCAGGGCCACCAACAGAGATGAATGCCACTTTCTCATGAGAACAAGAAGACTTGTGAAAGCAAAAACAATACCCCAGTGGCTGTTGCGAAATAACAACAGCCACTTGGAGCAATGACGCACAAAAGCGTCGATTCCTTTGCGAAGCGACCACACACACACAGCCGCCCGTTTACAAAAAAATCACTACGTTTAACCGCGCCTGTAGCTGAACAATAAGCCGTTTTAAACACACACGTGCAGTGGAGAAAAAAAACCCCAGAACAACAACGTCGCTCCAAAAATAGGAATGCTGCGACGCTAAATGGTACCACGTGTGTGGCGTTGGCTTGAGCGGCGTGCGCAATGAAGCCGCGTGTTCGTGATCACGTGCTGCGCCGTCGTGCCGGCAGCTCCGCGTGTGGGGAACGGTGGCTTAGCGGTTAGCGCAAAGCGCTGTGAACCTGATGACCCGAGTTCGATCCCCGCCCCATGGCCAACATCGATGAAAATTACTGTACCTGCACCGATCCCGAGTCTCCCTCGGGTTGGCTCAGCCTCAAATCGATAGCTGGCGCGGTGTGTAAACATCGCCATTGGGTGAGACAAAGGGCGACCGGGCGTGTTGCTGATCACCCACCCCCCTCCTGTGCCGTGGCGACCTTCATAGGTGCTAGCTAACAGCACTTGCCCCACAAGTCTGCTAAGGCTATACGGGGGGGTATTTAGCCTTTGCTTGAACAAGCAGAGCGTCTCCCCCCCTCCCCCCTCTCCCCCTGCGCTGAAGACACTGCCTCGAGCGCTCCTCTCTCTCACCTGGCCACAGAACTCGAGCAGGGCGAGCGTGGTCTCCTCGCCGTCCACCACCACGCTGCGCTGGTAGTAGTCCTCCACGGCTGGTAGGGGGAGAGAGACCACGAACGCGTCAACGCACTCAAGCGGCACGTCCGCTCGTTTCGTGAGCGCGAATGAATGACGCCACGAACACTGTCCCCTTCTGATCTCATCAAACGCTGCATTTGTATCGAACGCCTTCACTCAAGGCGCACGACACGGCTTACAAGACGGGTGACACAGAATTGAATGATTTCGGGTGGCAGGGGCGTGCTGCAATGACTGAGCAATGAGTGACGGCGATAGAGGGGTACTTAAGGGATCACTACAAGGTAGAGGATGGGATGGGAAGGAGTGGAGGAGCGAGGGGTTGTCATGGGGAAGAGGAGGGGCAATCGAGAAGAGGTTGAGGCTCACCGAAATCGGCGTCGTAGTCATCCTCGACGCCACCGAAGATGCGAGCCAGGGTGGACTTGCCGACGCCCGGCTCGCCCAGAAGCATGGCCCTGTAAGACGGCAGATGCGGCGGCGGCGGCTGGAACTGCCGGGCGAGGCGACAAGGAGCCACGGTGAGCTCGGGGCTGGCGCTGCCCTCGCTCGCCCCGGATGAGTTTGACAGCAGCGAGTCGGCCGAATCGGTCGACCACCTGGGCCGCTGTGCGCCGCTATCGCCGCCCGCGCCTGCTGGCGCCCGTGCTCCAACTCCTCCGGCTCCTCCGGCGACGGCGCGCCGAGCCCGGGGCCGCATCCCGGTGCCCTGCGCCGAGCGCAGCCTCCGCGGCGGGACGTCGAGGCGGGCGCCGGTTGCGGCGGCTGTGGGGGCCGCGTGGCGCGGGGGCAGCTGCGGGCCGCCGGCGCTCTTCGGCGTCGGGGCAGGCTCGGCCACGTTGAGCGTCATCCTGGTGGAGAACGGAACACATTCGAGGTCACAGCGCCGACCGACGGTGACGAGACTGCCGATGGTGCTGCTGATGATGCTGCTGCTGATGCTGCAGATTGCACCGTCACTGATGATGATGATGTTGATACTGCTGCTACTGCTGCCGACGAAAGGTGCAAAGTTCGGCAGATGTTGATGGTAATGACAGTTAAAAGGTGTGATGGTGGATGTCACTGATTTTGATGATGACAGTCGGCGACGATGACGCACGCTGATATTCGGTGATGATGATGATGAGCATCACGATGATGACGAGGATAAGGGGCTAGAGCTGACTTTGTGCATTCAAACTGGTGACCTTGAGCCTATTCAACCAACAGATTCTGCTGCGCTGCCTTACAAAACCGCCCCGGGTGCATGCTGTTCACAGCCAGCAGTCATAGCAACCCACGGTCCCACCACACAATCATCAGGCGACAATCTCCAACGCTGGGAAAGTTTGTGAAGCCTCAACGGCCCTCTCGTTCCTTGGCCAGCAGCGTCTGACTTTAATTCTCTCACCCCACTCCCCTCCCCCCACCGCGTGCAGAAACCCAATTGGACTTTTGGCGAGCTCATTAACCAAGTCAGATTACATCACGTTCCATTACGTCAACGTCTCTGCGGCTGTGCGCGTCGCCGTTTTCTTATAATGCTCACGAACGACGCGAGATTGTCTTTTGTTTATAATAAATATAGAAAAAAAAACAATCCCGCGAGGCTGGAGCACAAGCCGGTGTAGTGTTTCCGCGCACCGCGCGCGCATTGTGCCCGCAAAATATCAGGCGGCTCGAGAGTGCAATGACGCGGTGCCGTGCGCACGGCTTAGCCTTTCTAGTCCCAGTGAGATTTCTGATCGTTGTGAGACAAATTGATAATCCTGTCTATTTGCTGCGTTGCCCCGTTGTTCTCGCCCGCAACATCCCGTGATATCCCCCCCTATGCCCAGTCACTCTGTTATGCTGTCACGGCGACTGCGACCAGCCGATTCCACGTCGTTTCGCGTGCTCGTCGTCCTTGTATTGCGTCCCATGTTCATTGCCTGTGACCAAACCCCGAGGAACCAAGCCAGGTTGCGGCGTTCATGGGGCTCAGTGGCCTCACCTCACCGCTGTGCCACCACCACTCCATCCATCCCAGCAATTGACCACATTTTGTAAAAGTTTCAATGGTGTTATATTCCATCTTATTACCTGTCAATTCTAGAATTCACATCAAATTATCTCCTACCTATACTATCCGTTCTTGTATATTATAATCCTGTTCTATCATAACAAATTTTCTCTGTATCCTGCCCTCTGCAATTTTTGCTTTTCAATATTTTTTCCCTATATTATTCAATCTCCTCTTTCCTATTCCTGCTATCCTGGTATACAGCAATTCTACTCGAATTTGTATCCGTTTCTCTCTACCCCCCCCCCCCCTGTTTCCCACCACAACCCAAGTTATTCCCAACTTCCCATTGACCAAATCGCTCGGAAGAGGGCCCCCCACCTATCTCGTCAGCTCTCAGAAGCTAAGCAGAGTTGTGTTGAGCTGGGAGAGCGGCGAGGATGCCCGACCAGCCGTGGCGTGCCGAGCATGGGGGCAGTGGGGTGCCTTGCCCCCCCTCCCCCGCTGCCCCCGCCTCGTGGCCAAAGCTACGAGTTGCCCCCCCCCCCCCATCGCGACAATCACCGTGAGATGTTTCCTACAATATTGGGCGCCCCACGCGACTAATTACCGCAACCCTCTGAGCTGATAATGTCGTTACCACGCGATTCACGACTCGCATGCATAAATTAAGGCGTTGCAGGCTACTGCGGTGTAACATCGTCAGCAGAGTGCAGTGCAGCAACCACTGTTGCATTGTACTGTAGTGTGCTCCGGCATCTATGTTCCACGTCTTCACCATCTCTTGCACGAGCGAGCGTGGTGAAACACGCTCAAATAATACCAGCCCCCGAGGCGGGCACCACCGCGTTGGGGACAGATCCTCATCCAGCAGTGGCATCGACCACGTGCACATTGCGGGCATACAACAGCCCGGGCAGCAGAGCACGTGACCCCGGCTTGCCCACGCGCCACGGCGTCACAAAAATAACCGCGCCACGCGGGGTCGGGGGGGTGGCTCTAACGATGTAAAATTTTCAAGTTCAATTTTCGCTGTGTAATAGCTTTAAAACATGTGATGGAGCATTACCAGCATTACCATCAAAATATGAACTGCTCTATATATTCTCATGCAAGGATGAGAACTTGAAAGATATGAATTGCTTCCAACATGTATTCATTAAAATGGTTTAATTGAAAATAGAACAATCAAACATAGAACAATTGTTAAGTTAAATAAATAAAGTTATCATGATAAAAAAATAAAACAATTCCAATAAGAGTGTAATAGGACTTTTCGAATCGCAAAAAAATCGCAGCCTTTCCGATTTGCTAATCGCATTGTTTCTAATTGCGATTTCGATTTGAAATCGATTAATCGGTCAGCCCTACTCTACTGCCACGAGGGGGAGGGAGGAGGAGGGGGCTTAGTTAGACACACGGAGCCCCAGGCAGGCGGGAAGGAACACGAGGGTTTTGGTTCCCTTTAGCCCGTGGCAGGCGTCGGGTTTCGCGTTTCGTGCCTGACTTTATATATAACAAAAAAACATGTGAGCAGCAACGGTGCCGGGAGCCGTGAATCCCGCGTCCGTTGATGACGGCTGCTGTCAAAAAAAAAGAGCCGCTGTCTCGCACGTGCGCCGGTGAGTCCGTGTGTAAAGCGAGCTACGTACGGTGGTGCGTCCGCGTGTAAAGCGAGCTACGTGCGGTGGTGCAGTGAGTCCGTGTGTAAAGCGAGCTACGTGGTGCGGTGAGTCCGTGTGTAAAGCGAGCTACGTGGTGCGGTGAGTCCGTGTGTAAAGCGAGCTACGTGGTGCGGTGAGTCCGTGTGTAAAGCGAGCTACGTGGTGCGGTGAGTCCGTGTGTAAAGCGAGCTACGTGGTGCGGTGAGTCCGTGTGTAAAGCGAGCTACGTGGTGCGGTGAGTCCGTGTGTAAAGCGAGCTACGTGGTGCGGTGAGTCCGTGTGTAAAGCGAGCTACGTGCGGCGGTGAGTCCGTGTGTAAAGCGAGCTATGTGGTGCGGTGAGTCCGTGTGTAAAGCGAGCTACGTGGTGCGGTGAGTCCGTGTGTAAAGCGAGCTACGTGGTGCGGTAAGTCCGTGTGTAAAGCGAGCTACGTGGTGCGGTGAGTCCGTGTGTAAAGCGAGCTACGTGGTGCGGTGAGTCCGTGTGTAAAGCGAGCTACGTGGTGCGGTGAGTCCGTGTGTAAAGCGAGCTACGTGGTGCGGTGAGTCCGTGTGTAAAGCGAGCTACGTGGTGCGGTGAGTCCGTGTGTAAAGCGAGCTACGTGCGGCGGTGAGTCCGTGTGTAAAGCGAGCTACGTGGTGCGGTGAGTCCGTGTGTAAAGCGAGCTACGTGGTGCGGTGAGTCCGTGTGTAAAGCGAGCTACGTGGTGCGGTGAGTCCGTGTGTAAAGCGAGCTACGTGGTGCGGTGAGTCCGTGTGTAAAGCGAGCTACGTGGTGCGGTGAGTCCGTGTGTAAAGCGAGCTACGTGGTGCGGTGAGTCCCTGTGTAAAGCGAGCTACGTGGTGCGGTGAGTCCGTGTGTAAAGCGAGCTACGTGGTGCGGTGTGTCCGTGTGTAAAGCGAGCTACGTGGTGCGGTGAGTCCGTGTGTAAAGCGAGCTACGTGGTGCGGTGTGTCCGTGTGTAAAGCGAGCTACGTGGTGCGGTGAGTCCGTGTGTAAAGCGAGCTACGTGGTGCGGTGTGTCCGTGTGTAAAGCGAGCTACGTGGTGCGGTGTGTCCGTGTGTAAAGCGAGCTACGTGGTGCGGTGAGTCCGTGTGTAAAGCGAGCTACGTGGTGCGGTGAGTCCGTGTGTAAAGCGAGCTACGTGGTGCGGTGAGTCCGTGTGTAAAGCGAGCTACGTGGTGCGGTGAGTCCGTGTGTAAAGCGAGCTACGTGGTGCGGTGAGTCCGTGTGTAAAGCGAGCTACGTGGTGCGGTGAGTCCGTGTGTAAAGCGAGCTACGTGGTGCGGTGTGTCCGTGTGTAAAGCGAGCTACGTGGTGCGGTGAGTCCGTGTGTAAAGCGAGCTACGTGGTGCGGTGAGTCCGTGTGTAAAGCGAGCTACGTGGTGCGGTGAGTCCGTGTGTAAAGCGAGCTACGTGGTGCGGTGAGTCCGTGTGTAAAGCGAGCTACGTGGTGCGGTGAGTCCGTGTGTAAAGCGAGCTACGTGGTGCGGTGTGTCCGTGTGTAAAGCGAGCTGCGTGGTGCGGTGAGTCCGTGTGTAAAGCGAGCTACGTGGTGCGGTGAGTCCGTGTGTAAAGCGAGCTACGTGGTGCGGTGAGTCCGTGTGTAAAGCGAGCTACGTGGTGCGGTGAGTCCGTGTGTAAAGCGAGCTACGTGGTGCGGTGAGTCCGTGTGTAAAGCGAGCTACGTGGTGCGGTGTGTCCGTGTGTAAAGCGAGCTGCGTGGTGCGGTGAGTCCGTGTGTAAAGCGAGCTACGTGGTGCGGTGAGTCCGTGTGTAAAGCGAGCTGCGTGGTGCGGTGAGTCCGTGTGTAAAGCGAGCTACGTGGTGCGGTGTGTCCGTGTGTTAAAGCGAGCTACGTGGTGCGGTGAGTCCGTGTGTAAAGCGAGCTACGTGGTGCGGTGTGTCCGTGTGTAAAGCGAGCTACGTGGTGCGGTGAGTCCGTGTGTAAAGCGAGCTACGTGGTGCGGTGTGTCCGTGTGTAAAGCGAGCTACGTGGTGCGGTGAGTCCGTGTGTAAAGCGAGCTACGTGGTGCGGTGTGTCCGTGTGTAAAGCGAGCTACGTGGTGCGGTGAGTCCGTGTGTAAAGCGAGCTACGTGGTGCGGTGTGTCCGTGTGTAAAGCGAGCTGCGTGGTGCGGTGAGTCCGTGTGTAAAGCGAGCTACGTGGTGCGGTGAGTCCGTGTGTAAAGCGAGCTGCGTGGTGCGGTGAGTCCGTGTGTAAAGCGAGCTACGTGGTGCGGTGTGTCCGTGTGTAAAGCGAGCTACGTGGTGCGGTGAGTCCGTGTGTAAAGCGAGCTACGTGGTGCGGTGTGTCCGTGTGTAAAGCGAGCTACGTGGTGCGGTGAGTCCGTGTGTAAAGCGAGCTACGTGGTGCGGTGTGTCCGTGTGTAAAGCGAGCTACGTGGTGCGGTGAGTCCGTGTGTAAAGCGAGCTACGTGGTGCGGTGTGTCCGTGTGTAAAGCGAGCTACGTGGTGCGGTGAGTCCGTGTGTAAAGCGAGCTACGTGGTGCGGTGTGTCCGTGTGTAAAGCGAGCTACGTGGTGCGGTGAGTCCGTGTGTAAAGCGAGCTACGTGGTGCGGTGAGTCCGTGTGTAAAGCGAGCTACGTGGTGCGGTGAGTCCGTGTGTAAAGCGAGCTACGTGGTGCGGTGTGTCCGTGTGTAAAGCGAGCTACGTGGTGCGGTGAGTCCGTGTGTAAAGCGAGCTACGTGGTGCGGTGAGTCCGTGTGTAAAGCGAGCTACGTGGTGCGGTGAGTCCGTGTGTAAAGCGAGCTACGTGGTGCGGTGTGTCCGTGTGTAAAGCGAGCTACGTGATGCGGTGATTCCGTGTGTAAAGCGAGCTACGTGGTGCGGTGAGTCCGTGTGTAAAGCGAGCTACGTGGTACGGTGAGTCCGTGTGTAAAGCGAGCTACGTGGTGCGGTGTGTCCGTGTGTAAAGCGAGCTACGTGGTGCGGTGAGTCCGTGTGTAAAGCGAGCTACGTGGTGCGGTGAGTCCGTGTGTAAAGCGAGCTACGTGGTGCGGTGAGTCCGTGTGTAAAGCGAGCTACGTGGTGCGGTGAGTCCGTGTGTAAAGCGAGCTACGTGGTGCGGTGAGTCCGTGTGTAAAGCGAGCTACGTGGTGCGGTGAGTCCGTGTGTAAAGCGAGCTACGTGGTGCGGTGTGTCCGTGTGTAAAGCGAGCTACGTGGTGCGGTGAGTCCGTGTGTAAAGCGAGCTACGTGGTGCGGTGTGTCCGTGTGTAAAGCGAGTTACGTGGTGCGGTGAGTCCGTGTGTAAAGCGAGCTACGTGGGTGCGGTGAGTCCGTGTGTAAAGCGAGCTACGTGGTGCGGTGAGTCCGTGTGTAAAGCGAGCTACGTGGTGCGGTGAGTCCGTGTGTAAAGCGAGCTACGTGGTGCGGTGAGTCCGTGTGTAAAGCGAGCTACGTGGTGCGGTGAGTCCGTGTGTAAAAGCGAGCTACGTGGTGCGGTGAGTCCGTGTGTAAAGCGAGCTACGTGGTGCGGTGAGTCCGTGTGTAAAGCGAGCTACGTGGTGCGGTGAGTCCGTGTGTAAAGCGAGCTACGTGGTGCGGTGAGTCCGTGTGTAAAGCGAGCTACGTGGTGCGGTGAGTCCGTGTGTAAAGCGAGCTACGTGGTGCGGTGAGTCCGTGTGTAAAGCGAGCTGCGTGGTGCGGTGAGTCCGTGTGTAAAGCGAGCTGCGTGGTGCGGTGAGTCCGTGAGTAAAGCGAGCTACGTGGTGCGGTGAGTCCGGGTGTAAAGCGAGCTACGTGGTGCGGTGAGTCCGTGTGTAAAGCGAGCTACGTGGTGCGGTGAGTCCGTGTGTAAAGCGAGCTGCGTGGTGCGGTGAGTCCGTGTGTAAAGCGAGCTGCGTGGTGCGGTGAGTCCGTGTGTAAAGCGAGCTACGTGGTGCGGTGAGTCCGTGTGTAAAGCGAGCTACGTGGTGCGGTGAGTCCGTGTGTAAAGCGAGCTACGTGGTGCGGTGTGTCCGTGTGTAAAGCGAGCTACGTGGTGCGGTGAGTCCGTGTGTAAAGCGAGCTACGTGGTGCGGTGAGTCCGTGTGTAAAGCGAGCTGCGTGCCGCGGCGCCTTGAGGGTTTTCTGTGACCGCCGCAAGCCGCCGCAACTGATCAGCGTGCTGGCCACACCGGGGATGGTAAAAATTTACCACCGCTGCCCCCCCCCCATCTCCCACCACGACCCACAAAGGAGTCGGGAAGGGCCTTCTGCCCGCCCTCCTTCCCCCAACCCTGCCGAGACGTTGCACCGTGCTATCCCGCACGGATTGCCAGAGAGAGGCAGAGAGACTCGCATGCACTTTGTAAAGCGCTGGTGGGAAGGAACACACATGTACAAAATGATATACGATAAATTAATTAAAAATTGAATACATCACATCGCTGTTTCGCACGTGCAGGTCGCGGTGCAACATTTCTCGCGGGACAGCCCGGACATTCCACAATCGTGTGACTCGGGGGGGTCAATATCTGCATCGTGGCAACTGCTTCCTACAAAGTAGTGCTGTTGTTATTGTCTTTCTACCGACTGGAGGCGGTTAATGGTGGTTTTAACCGTTATACACAATCGCTGTACATACGAGCAGTTCATGTGCTGTCCGCACGTATAAATCTGCTGATGCATTTCCATAATTTACGGGATAGCTTTAGTTGATATCATTGCATTAAGCATTACAAACGCAGCCTATTTGAGCATTAAGTAAGCGAGATATACAGTATTTGGTATCCCGTTAGCCTACATTTAACACGCGGCGATTATGGCCTTGCGGTGTGTATTAAACGCCCTTTTGGAGACATCAAATCATCATACTGCAGTTGAAAAGTCGGTGAAATTATGATGTGCGCGACGCCGAAGTCACGGTTAACGCTTTGGGACAGGCACGTCCCTCTGCGTGCATCTCATACATTGATGCCCATCGCACGACTGCCTCTTGAGCATCAGCGCAATCCTCGCCTCTCAAAGGCGCAGTCTATATCAGGAGCAGCAGTGCTTGGGAATCAAGTTAACACGCGTGCGCGCGTGTGTGTCTTTGTACAATGATGTACCGGGGAGCGGTCGCGCGCAGCGGTTATAGCGCTGCGCTACGAACCTGGTGACCCGGGTTCGATTCCCGGTCACGACTATCTAAACCGGTTCTGAGCCTCTCCTAGGTCGACTCAGCCGCAATTGAGTAGCTGGCGCAATGTGTAAACATCGCCACTCAGGAGACAAAGGCGGCCGGGCGTGGTGCCGTGCCCGTTTTCATAGGTGCTCGCTAACAGCACTTACCCCCAAAAGTCTATTAAGGCTGCACGGGGGATCTTTGTTTTGTATAATGATGTAACACTAACGCACAGTTACGTGCAACGAAGCCCTCCCCGCGCCGTGCCATTGACGTTGTCAGATCCATACTTCACCACACCGGTCAAGTGCAGGGTTGGTGCAGGGTGGGATACCCAGGACCCGTGTCAGAAGTCACTCGCCTACGTGATGTTAACCGTGGCCGGGAATCGAACTCGTGTGGCCACTGCTCTAGCCGACCCCTCTCCCGCCCCCGTGCGGGTACGCGTGTATGTCCCTCGACGTGCGTGTATGTACCGAGACGTGCGTGTATGTCCCTCGACGTGCGTGTATATCCCTCGACGTGCGTGTATGTACCTCGACGTGCGTGTATGTCCCTCGACGTGCGTGTATGTCCCTCGACGTGCGTGTATGTCCCTCGACGTGCGTGTATGTCCCTCGACGTGCGTGTATGTACCTCGACGTGCGTGTATGTCCCTCGACGTGCGTGTATGTACCTCGACGTGCGTGTATGTCCCTCGACGTGCGTGTATGTACCTCGACGTGCGTGTATGTACCTCGACGAGAAGCGCTATGCACGTACCTGCTGACGTAGGAGGCGAGCTGACGTTAACGACCTTGCAGCCGGTGAGTTTCGCCGTTGCGCAAGCCACGATCAGCAGCCACCACCAACACCACCACGCATGCACACGTGGTAAGAACACCGTGGGGATGTATGAGACTCCGCTGACTGGCTGTCTGTCTGGACGCTTGTTTGTCTATCTGTCTAAGTGGCTGGCTGATCGAGTGACTGGCAGTCTGACCAGCTGATTGACTGGATTCCTGACCAGCTGTCAACTTGACAGGCTGTCTGACCACTGTGTTTATTTGACCGGCTGTCTGACCAAGCCGCCTGTCTCTCCACTTGACTGACGATCCCTGCTTACGTGGCTGGCTGGCTGGCTGAGTACGAATGGAACGGCCAAGCAGGATGAGCCACCCCGGTGCCCGTGAGCTGAGTGATGCTGTGTGAGTCGAGGTAAGTGCGCGGGTGACTATTTATGGAGAGGATTGGGGGGTGGGGGGTTGGGGAGACCCGGGCCTGCTGTTCCATGCGTCACGATGCATGATGAGGGTTCCCCACGTAGTGGCTACCCACCCCCACCACCCTACTCCACTGTGAGGCGGAGCGACAAATCCGCACTCCGCCTCCTCCCGCTTCCCCTGCTCCCACCCCGTCTGTCTCCAAGAACCACACACGGGGTCGCACGCTCCTGTACCCTTCGCTACACGTGGCCTGCAGTCGGGTATCGTCAATAGGTGGCCTAAATTGACGACACTTTGTACGTGTGTACGTCGGACTTCTTTCGCACCGTACGTAGCCGCCGACCGTGCTAATCGGAGGTGCGGGGTAAAGGACGAGAAGCTAAAACACAAAAAGCTGTTGTCATATCGGAAGGAAGAGCGTTTGCAGACGGCCGCAGAAGTGCATCTGAAAGCGCCACGCGCTGCGATGAACGCCGCCTTTGTTCGATGGTGAGCCAAGAGTCGCCACTGCGAGGATGATCGGAGTTCGCGTGATGCTTTATGCTGCTCGAGATCAGCAAGGGTATTGTGGTTCATGTGTGGCGAGCACTTTGTGTGCAATGAGTACATTAGCAGACAACACTCATGCCTTCCTCCCCATAGCTGTCCATTCACATCCAAAAAATAATCATTGCACATCTCATCTGCCAAACGCACTCCTCTGAGTGCATGAGTTCAGCAGCATTGGTTTTATTTTGTTCGATATTCATTGCCTCATCAAGCAGAGTCACGCTTGCTTTATTGTACTCCAATGCTAGTGAACTGTCAGATTTATAGGCAATGGACCCTCCAGGTGAGATTCTTTTCCAATATTATTATTGACAATGCTTGGTGATGATCATTAGGGTTGTAATTGATGAGTAGTGATTTCTGCGTGTATAATTTTAATATGGGATTATGCTGCTGCTGCTGCTGTGGCGGTGATGATAGTCGGCACGCTGCACTTACTAACAAGGTCACCGCATCGCGCTCTCTCAGATGCGCTTCTGCTTATTCTACGGTTCCTCCGGCGTTTCCCTCCGCATTCAGAATGAACAACACGCCCTTAGAGTATGTTGACTGCTGTACATCTTCACGTGATAAGCCACTTCGTTGAGCTATCATTTGTGATGGCCAGATCGCTTCTGAAAAATAGCTGGTCGCTCAAGTGGGCCTCACCTGGTCAAATAAAAAGATAGCTTCGTTTAACACACAGGTTGTCATAGGGCATGTGGGGGATACGCTATGGGCAGCAGTGTAGCCACATCCGCTGTTGTCCCGTACTTATATACCCCCCCCCCCCCCGTCTATGATCCCAGCCTTCACCACACGGCGCTGATCAGCGTGGTGGGTGTGGAGCCCTAATACAGCAGTGGATTTTACAGGAAAGAGTATAGACAAAAAAACCTCTGTAGAATGAGTTTATAAACATTATATCACATTTGTTGTCTTTCCACAATGAACTGGGCACGGGTAAGGGGTGGGGAGTCAATATTATCTGACATCCCAGCAGTGTTTGTTTAGCAAGCCTGGGTGTGCTGATGAGAGACCCAGGTCGAAACTTGTGCAGCGCTGTTTATGTTTAAACACGTGCTTTTGCTGGATAATATTGACCTGAAGAGCTCCTTGGCTGATTCGCAAAACGAATATTTTATTTATTTGTGGGGAGACGAGCCAGCAGAGGTCCGTGTACTACTACTATGCATCCGCAGCCATTGCAGTTGTAAAAATAGACACTCCGTGACAAATTGCGGTACAAAGACCTTTACGAAACATTATTAACAATAGCGTGATAAATAAAGAATAGATATACAATCAAATATCCATCACCTTGACAGGTAACCGAATATTTTTACACGTCTGATATTTCCTCCGTGCCATTGAAAGTTTGATTTGTAATTAACGTTTCTCATTCGCGCTGTGGTTAATTTAAAACGACGAAGTTGGTTCGCGTTAATTATTCTTGCCATCGCAGACCTGCGAGAGATAGTATTGGCCTGGTGAGGGTTTCACTCAGCAGTGGAGCGATCATGGCTGCTGCTGCTGCTGCTACTGATGGTGAAGGTGAAACAGTTTTTTTTCACGTGTTAAGAAGTTTGTGCCTGATTTTATTTTGTGTTCTAATTATCGTTGGTATTTTGTGTACACGTGAAGTGCCTCGCTGATCTCGTCAATGATCATAAACCATCACGCAAACTCGGGTCATCCTCGCAGCAGCAGCAGCAGCTTTTGGCTGGCCATCGATCAAGACAGATGCGTTTCTGTGGCCGTCTGGAACGCTCTCTTCTTCCAATATTAGGAAGCCACCGGAGCTTTACACTTTTAAATCGTCTAGATTGAAAACTCATTTCTTGAGAACTGCATTTTGTGTGTTAGTTTGTTGTCCTTCCCCCTCACCTCCGATTAACACTGTTGGCTACATACGGTGCGAAATAAGTTCAACGTTCATACATGTTGATTGTTCCATAATAGTATTTGTTATTGTCTTGGAAACCAAGTGTGGATTTTAAGAGTCGATTTACCGGCAGCACCATTGTGTGGAATGAGGCATGCATTCCTCAGGGAGGAATTGAAAAACGGAATGCGCTATTATACGAAGCATTGGAGAACGGAGACCACCGGTGCTGTGCTATCGGCAGGTTAAAAGAAGAAAGGCCATCAAAAAGAGCCTTCTAGCAAAAGCAGTGATAACACCAAGGCAACAGAGACAGACGACGTCGACTTAAAAGGAGCACTGAAGGTGTAGGCCAAAAACAGCTTGATATATAGAGGACTGCAGAGCGTTGGGCAATTGTAGGTGGCAGCCCACTGGTGTGGCTGCCTTCATGCTCGCATGTGGCTCCTCCTCCTCCCGCCTCTGAGTCGTTCCTTCGGTTCAAGAGTGAACGAATACCGTGCGCGTTGCAAGTTGCCACCACTATATTATATAAGCCGTCGTTCTGTTGACATTTGAAAGAAGAGTGGTGGTGACATGGATGCAATACCAGCAGCTCGCCTGCGACAGAAATAGATTGGGGAATCTCCTGCGTGTAGCCTACAAATCCAGGGGCCTCCATACGAACTGGAAGGAAGAAGGAGAGTCGTGTGTGTCCATGCGCCTATGGGGAGCGGTAGTGTAGTGGTTAGCGCACTGCCCTACGAACCCGGCCAGCCGAGTTTGATTCCCGCTCACGGCCAACACCAGTGACGATTATCTGAACCGGTCCTGGGTATCCCCTAGGTGGATTCAGCCTCAAATCAATACCTGGTGCGGTGTGTAAACATCGCCACTAGGGAGACAAAGGTGGCCGGGTGTGCTGCTGGCCACCCACCCCCTTCGTGTCCCGTTCCGGCCTTCATAGGTGCTCGCTAACAGCACTTGCCCCAACAGCCTGTTAAGGCTACACGGGGGATTTTTGTCCCTACTTGAGCCTGTTGTGATGTTGGGAAATTTCAGACTGGTGATTTCTATGATCCTGCTGTAGTCGAAACAACAATACTGTCAAAATCATTATTTAGAAATGTGCATATGTTTTAGTCCATCGGCCTATTGGCTTTCCAAACCAATAGTATCCAGCAACAATTGCTTAAGCAAGCCAATTCTGGACAACTTTCAATCTTTTGGTTCTCATCAGCAGAATCGTGCAGTCTCGTTGAACAAATGCTTCTGGGTTTTCAGATGTTATTGGCAAGAGCGCTGCATATCAACTCTGGGACCCAGTTCAATGCAATAAAAAAGTAATATCGTATACAAACACGTCACGAGTTTGTTGTGAAGCATTATATACGGGGTGTTTTAAAAGATGGACCCAATTTCAAAGCAGTATATTTCACGATGGCAACATGTTACAATTACACAAAAAGTTACAACCTGTATCATGGCTTATCAAGTTTTACTAACCATTTTATAAATGCTCTATATGCCCTTCACCTGCTGTACGGACAACATCGAGACGATAGTTGAATTCGTCCCAAACGCCTCTCTTCTCACGTTGCCCTCTGAGGTGCGTGGTCGCCCTGTGCGCTGCCCTTTACATCAACAGCTGCCCGTGTCCTCAAATTGTCGGTACCAACGACGAATGCTCTTTGACATTGGCGGATCAATACCAAAACGCCGTTGAAACGCACGTTGCACCGCAATAACGGATTGAGTCTTGCTGAACTGCAGAACGCAAAACGCCCCTTGTGTTGCGGGGGTCACCGTCTTGCGAATGACTGAGGCTAGGGGCTGTTTGTGCGCTGGGAGAGGCATCTAGCGGTTAATCATTTGAAACTCTATGCCCCGCCTTTCAAGTGGTAAGAATATCATTCATGCGCGGTTCGTGGTTGCAGAGATATAGCGATTTCAAATCGGGTCCATCTTACATAGGCAGAACTGCGTTCTGGGTCTCCGCACACACACACACACACAAAATATATATTTAGTCCACCGGCTTATTGGGCAATGTTGTGACATTTAAATGTTCTCTTCGGTCGTAGATAGGTGGTGTTTTTTGTGCTGTGCAAGGGGATAGGTGTCAGTGCATCCACCTGCTCCTGCCTGTGACCCCAAGTCGGGATTAAGTGAAGAGATAAACACGGGGAGCGCGTGGCGCGTTTATTGTGGCAACGCCTGCACCTCGTTGCCCTAATCTCGGGGTCACTGCCGGCACAGCCGCCCGGCTATTTTTTCTCTCTGTCTCTCTCCGCCCGTTGGCAGCTGTCATAGAAATCTTCGCAGCGGCGCGCGTACCACGGCACGATGGTCCCACAGTCAGCGGTGCAGCGAGCGGGGTCCGCGGTGGGAAAGGTTGACAGTTCAAATCCTGGTCGGGGTTGACTCAACAGATCACACCACCGTGGTCAATGACGTGAGTACCCATTTGTGGTTGTCCAATGGGTAGATTTGCCCACGTCGCAGGACTGTGGGATTTCCACCACTGCCTCGGGGCTGCAATGCTCCTCTAAAGTAGGAAACCACTGACTTGTTCTGAGTGCGGTACTAAACACGAGGGATGCGACGGAGCATTGAATAGTCGATGCATGCATCAAATCGCATAGAACAACACTATTACACGCTTTTTATTAACTCACTCTGTTGTTGTATCCTC